TACTTAGCGTATCTCTGTAGATCCATCTAATACATTAGTGGTCTCAAATCTTTGTCCTAATGCAGTTGTTTGGAATTAGATTTTGTATTCAAACCTGCTACCTAAAAATAAGGATTTAGATGTCGTGGACCCTATTAAAAAAATATATGCTACTACTTCTCAATTTAGACTTGTAGATTAATCTTCCTCAAGTTATGTTTGACTATTTGAAGAGGACTCTTTCTTCCTTTCACAAGGGAAAGATTTTCTTCATTCCTTATGGACGAGTTTTTTTCCAGAATTAGTTGTTCAGTAGGGAGTTATCATAAGTTCAGAGGTTGGTTCGTCTAAAATCTAGAGAGATAAGTTTGAAGCTATCTATGAAAGATTCTGATGTTAAATTTCTACAGAGTTATACTTTGCAATCGTTATAACCTTTGTATTAAGAAATCTTATTAATAATTTGTGTTTGTTCATGATATTCTGCAGTATAACTATTATTTATATATTTATTGTTGTTCTAAAGGATTAAAGAAATGAGATTAAGAACTCAAAAAGTGCAACAATTCTCATTAATAAATTGAAAGGTATTACAAATTATTTATACTTTCTAGTCTATTGGATTTGCCTTAAGGTATTCCCTAGGATCATTCGACATGTCCAAATTATCTAAATAATCTTGCCATTCTTCCTTGGAAAATTCCAAAGCCTCTTATCTCATATGATTTCTGCATTTTGACTCAGAAGTTCTTTTTCTTCTGGGAGTCTTCACAAAGGATGTTAAAGAGGTGTGTACTTATGTAGTCATCTATCTACTTACTAGTAGATCCTTCAGTTGCTACTTTAATTTTGGTTGCTTGAGTTACTGCATTTAGTATGACTGCCTTTCTGAAATCTCTCTTTGGAACTCATATTTGCTTTTATTTATACATCTTTGTGTTCTAAAAATTAAATGATTAAGGGAGGAAGTTTGCTATGAGTTTTGATAGACTTGTTACATTCATTGTCTTAAGTATCCGTTATTTTAATATTGATTAAGTCAAATCAATATTTTAATGATGACTCTTGGAAATGTTATCTAACAGTCTGACCTATTAAGATTCCTTTTATCAATAGTAAGTATTATAGTTAACATGTTTAACTATTGCTTTTGGTGTCAGTATTACTGCATTAATGTTTTACAAGAAAATCAAAGGGTGAGTTAAATGGTTGTGCGCATGCAATGTAAATAAATAAATAAAAATTGGTAAAAAAAAACATCTTCATTAATCAAGCAAAAGGATTACAAAAGAGTTTTACAAAAGGAATTGAATGTTATTAGAATAGATCTCTATCTAAGTCATCCTTTTCCTTATAGGAGTAGTAGTTGTCATAGTCAACTTCTGGTTCATCCTCATTAATATCTTCCACGTCTGCTTCAGGGATAACAGAATGGTAAAACCTCTTGTTGAACCTTCTATTTTCTTGACCTATTTATAGATTTCTTTCTTGGCTTCAACACACCTACTAAAGAACCTACTTTTGTAGGTTGTTGAGAAACTATTTACGTAGCTTTGTCAGAAGTAATATTTGTAGAGAGCACAAACCCAATAGTGGATGACTCAGAAACTGGTTGTTTCTGAAGGTTCTTGATACTCAGACTTGTAGAGTTCTGTGTGATTTTTGTCACTACATAAGTTTTGTTTCTCTTAGCAGATGACTCTTGTAGATGTTGATGAAAATGAATTAGGTTTTGGCTAATTTTATAATGACTTCTGAGTATCCTAATCGACAAAATAAGAATCCTTTACTCGATTTTATGGACTATTACGACTAATAACTGCATTGCACAATCCTTAATGAACCCTATTACTTGACCGTTTTTCAAATTCTTGGAAATTGATCTTGTAATGATGGTTGTTATGCATTTATGCGTTTTTCAAATTCTTTTTGATGTGACAAAAGGGGAAAATGATAATAAGTATTTAATTAGAAACTAAACACATTAAACATGTTCAGTTTTTACATAATGGTCATTTATAATTCTGTTATTTAAATTTCTGTTATTATGGTTATCTTGCCCGGACGACACATTTTAACTTTCTTGTACATAAAACTAAGAAGGAGCTTACAAACCTCATCCTTAACCTATTAGACTTAGAAGGAACTTACAAACCTCGTATCCTGTTGTTGCTAAAGGAAGTTAAAATATTATTTTTGGTTTTCTTAAATATAGAACTAAGGGGGAGCTTACAAACCTAAACCTTGGAACTATTTGACTCAGGGGGGCTTACAAACCTCAAACTCCGATGTTACTAAGAAAACTAAATTACTTTTTCTTGAAAGTAATACTTAGGGTGGGTCAAAAAACTCAACTTTAGACTATTAGACTCAGAGGAAGCTTACAAACCTCATACTCTGATGTTGCAAAGAAAATTATAACTACCCAATATTGTTCTATTAAATACTTATGTTTGTCATCATAAAAAAATGGAAGATTTTTAGAACAAGATTTGTTCATGACATATATTCCTTGGGTTTTGATGATAACAAAGTATTTAAAGAATAATGGTTTTATTTGATGTGTGTTTCTTGTATGTAGGTTCTAATACTTGTAAATATTAGATACAAAATCTGATATACAAAGGCACACTTGAGAGAAGCTGAATTGCTAGCTTCTGGTGATGTAGAATCTGAAGAATACTTGTTATGTGATGTCTGACGCAGACTTTGAAGCTGAAGGTCTCAGCATCAGAAGAAGCAACATAATTGTCTCTACAGTTGGTGAATATAAATTGACTTCTGGTATCGTTCAGAGTTGGTGATAAAGCTGAAGTAGTCTGTACTGCATAAAGCAAGTTGCATTGTCAAATCAGTTTGTCAGCTGGAGTATGATTTCACAAGGCTCAAGAAAGGTTGACATGCTTTACATATATCCTCTCCAACAGATCTATAGTACATGATTTTCTTGAAGACTCAATGGTTAAACATGTTAGTCTGCTGCAACTGCTACATAAGTGGCTGGATGTTCAAACTGAATCTTTAATAAGGATTGACCAGAAGGTGGAGTAACAAGATCAGTAATTATTAACTCTATAGTTTATGCTGATTTTCTGTTGTAGGTTGTAATTGTAAAAGCCTTAAAATTTCTTTCACATTGAATATCTTAGAAATCTTAAGAGCAATAGGTCTTTGCTAATGGTGATTTCTTGTACCTCTGATATTAGTATCATGTACACCTTGCTCTCAATTCTGCTGAACTTGTTTAGCAGTTTAGGTTAAGTCTCTCTCCAAGATGCTTAATCAAGTAGATTAATTGAGCATAAGTCTTGTATCATTGGGATACAAGCAAGAAAGTCTCTCGCCAAGATGCTTGAGTCATGTAAGTCTCATGCTATGTGCTTGAGCAATGAAAGACTTAATCAAGTGGATTGATTGAGCATAAGACTTCTGTCGTGGGGATGCAAGCAAGAAGTCTTGGGGCAGTGTGGCTTAAGCAGGTTGGTTCGGTACATGAAATTGGGAGCAGTAAGTCTTGAATCTGAGGGGTTCAAGCAAGGAGGCTCGTTTCATGGGAGTTAGAGCAGAAGTCTTGAGTCTGGAGGACTTAAGCAGGAAGTCTCGGACCTAGGGTCTGAGTGGTGTAAAAGTCTTATGTAGAATGCATAAGCGATTGTAATCTTAATTTGGTTATAGTGAAAATATCTTGTTAAGTAAGAGGACTGAACTACTCTCAGTTAGAGGGGAACCAGTATAAATCTTTGTGTCTTATGTTTTTATATTTGCTTCTGTTAACACCGCTATTAAGTATAATCAGAATCTGAACACCAGTTCAGATTCTGAACTCTGATCAGATGCAGATTTTAAAAAATAGAAAACACAATTCAATCATCCGTTCTTATGTGCTTTTCTCACCTTCAAAACCTTCATAGATTGTAATGATATACTCCCATATGCATTGGTAGGTTGCAGCAGATGAAGTAGGTTACTTAATAATCATTTCATTATGAACTTGTGTTTCGTAAAATATCCTAATTATTTATGCACCATAAAACCTACGACGACAATGAAGATATTCTCCCAATACGATGGGAGTTTGCAAAAGACAGAATAGATTATTTACCAATCGCAAGAGACATAATAAGATACTTGCAAGTCAATTTGTGAGTAATCATATTTTTTAAAAGTCATAATTTAAAAAGATTTATTATAGATTCAAATTTTAGTAGTATTACATGATTTGGAAATTAGTCAAATCAATTTAAAGATTGAAACTATTCAATAAATAATGCTTTTCTAAATTACGAAATTTCCAATATACTCCAATAAGTGGGGTGGCCGGTAGAATCGTCGTTAAAAAAAGCCTACTATCATTTAGATTTTGGATCACAACTATTTATCCAAAAAGTTTTGTGCTATAAAAAAACTGAGTGACCCCATATCAACTGTAGCAGTAGTTGGAAAATTCAACTCATTAATATCATATTAAATTTATATCTTTCCATCTCCAATTGAAACTTGAAAAGTGTCGAATATAATCCCATCATTTATGAATCATATCTACCAAAAGTCATTTGTTTCTCATTTATCATCCATCACCCATCACCACCATCAATTATATCAACTCTTTTTTTTTTCTTTTAAAATAACTTAAATTCCAGTAACATTATTACTCCTTCCATCTTATCATAATGGTTGAATTATTTTTATCATCATAATATAGAATAAAATAATAATATTAATCTCAGAAATCTAAAGAAATAAATTAAAAATATACTGAAAATTAAAAATCACTACAATACTAGTATGAGTGAATCCGTCAAAATGGGAATTGTTTCTACTAATTGGGAAACTAGTTAGTACTATTAGCATATAAGAAAGTGATTAAAATAATTGCACCAAGTTGAACTTTAAAATTATAATTAATTTTGAAATAACTTATTTTAACAAGTCATTCTGGTACAATATTATAAAGCTCCAATCAAACTCTTTTCCCTTCTTTGTCTTCCGTGGCAGCAACAAATAAGTAGCAGTTCGTTTGGATGATGAAGCTTCTGCGTCTTCCTCTCTCTTCTCTCTTCATCTTCTTCGTTTTCCCCATTTCACACTCAATACCCTTCATTGTTCTTCACGGTAACTTTCTTTTCATTTTTCATTGTTCATTGTTTTAGTAACCATAATTATGCATGTATTAATGAGAATGATTCTTGATGAGTTGCAGGAATTTCTGATGAGTGCTCTAGTCATGGAGTCAAATCCTTCACGGAGAAATTGATCAGTTACTCTGGTGTTCAGGGATTTTGCGTGTATGCTTTTTACATAACTTTCATTTCCTTACAGTTTTTCAACTAATTTTGTTGTGTTTTCTATAATACTGGACTCTGATTTGTGATTTTTTTCGTGGTTTTCGTTATCAATTTGTACTTGGATTGTGGCTACTGTAATTTAGGGTATGTTTGGATGGAGGATTTTTTAAGGCTAATTCTATATTTGAGTTTTATTTTTAAGAAAATGAATGAATAACATGATAATTGATAAGAGTAAATGATTATATAGCATTCCAAATACACTTAATTCTTTTTTAGATATATTTTATAGCTTTCTTAATTTAGAAAAGAAAAATAATCACTCTGATCCGAACATACAACAACAAGACTTATCCCACTAAGTGGAGTTTTCTGCTAAATGAATCTACTTTTGTTGTCATAATGTTCTACCCAGATAATTAATTTCGAGATTTTTTTAATAACTTCTCTTATAGTCTTTCTAGATCAGGTAGGTGTTTGACTTGTCTTCATTTGATCTACTCTCATTACCACATAATCTACCGGTCTTCTCTATTCAAACATATCTTTAGTTTTTGTGACTAATGAAATTTCTCTATATTTTCAGTGAAGTAGGCAATGGATCATGGGATTCATGGTTTATACCTTTGAAAGAGCAGGTAATAGGGCAGAAGGATTTGATCTGCTCATGGTATTGCCTAATGCCTGATGATTCTGACTATTTCTAATTTGGTTTTTTTATTGTATATGTTTGCAGACTGATATTGTTTGCCAGAAGGTGATGAAGAGATAGATTCAAGCATGTGATGAAGAGATAGATTCAAGCATTATTGCGGTAACGTTTCTTTTTTTATTGGGCATTATTTAGTCTTTTACTGTTTTAAATGTCATATACAGGTGAAGGAAATGAAAGAATTGAAAGGAGGATACAACATTGTTGGCCTCTCCCAGGTAAAACATGAGAATTGGGATTTTATTTATTTTTCTGTTGATGTAAGTTGTCTTTATTTTCATTCCTTTGAGTGTCATCGGATGCTAATCATTGCTCTATGTGAAAGGAGTTGTCCTTTACAAAGGTTTTAAATCATTCTTCTTAAATGGCGACAACAAAGTTCATAAAGTATAACTATGTCCATTTGTAGTTAAAATGATGACTGGTAAAGGATTTTAAGCTTTTTAAATTTTCAAATTCATCCTGTGAAGGTATTGATATTTGCGCGGTTTGTCGCGGATTTTGAAGTGGTTCATGGCAGCAGTGCATCCCTCCTTCTTTTCCTTTCCTTTTTTGTTCATTGCAAAGAATGTTAAACTACCTTATTACATAATTCATCTTAGAGATGCTTATTTTGGAATTTTGTTGTTTTTTAATGTTTCATTCTTGAATTTCCCTTGTCCTACAGGGAAATTTAATTGGTCGAGGTGTGGTCGAGTTTTGTGAAGGAGGACCTCCCGTAAGAATCTACAATTTTACAAGCGAATAATTTTTTATAATAGTTAAACATATTTTGCTGTCTATGTTTCTGCATATATCCATTACATGACAAACTATGTTGCAAAATGATGTTTTCCATGAAATATCAATGAGAAATCTTGTCCATTATTGAGAATTCAGGGAGTGGATTCTAATTAATCCATAGTTACATATTCATGTGCATATATTTTCCCTAAACCAATCATTTAATTTGTCATCCATTGTTTATATTCCACACTTTTCCTTCTAAAATGAACTCACTTTGAAGGAACCAAGTTCTAAATTGTTATTTTTGTTTCACCTTTGAGTATTTTGCCTAAATCAGTCATTTACTTTGTCATCCATTGTTTATATTTTGGTTTTTAACTATCTAGATCCTTACTTACCCTTGTCAACTTATTCATGAGATATTCTTCCTTGTTATTGGTGTGACAGGTTAAGAACTTTATCTCTTTAGCCGGCCCTCATGCTGGTACTGCTTCAGTTCCCCTGTGTGGTGTGAGTATCATCTTACTTTCCAGCACAATGCCTTTATTCTTTCTGTGTTATCGTATTGATTTTGGAATTACCAAATTCAGTATAATCAATTGTTGAGTGCATATAAGGATGAGTGTAATACAATTGTTGAATGATTTTTTGTTTCTACAGACAGGTGTCTTTTGTGTCATTGCAGACAATCTCATCAAGGGAGAGATTTACAGTAGCTATATTCAAGTATTCATCTCTATCTTCTCTGTTATTGCATATTTACTTTGCTCAGAATTTGTTATATCATTACTTCGTCACTCATTATTTTTCCACTCCACCTTTACAATCTCTAACATGCCCCAATTCAAAAAATTGCAGCAACATTTGGCTCCTAGCGGATATCTTAAATTACCAAATGTGAGTATCAATATTTGTAACCATTTAGCGTAGCTGTTTGTTTGCTTAAAATTTTCTCAAACCATTATATTGAAATCAATTTTGATTTCAGGCTTTACCCGAATACTTGGAGAACTGTAGGTACCTCCCTAAGCTTAATAATGAAAAACCTGGTCAGAGGAATTCCACTTACATGGAAAGATTTAGTAGCTTAAAGAATTTGGTACTTATCATGGTAAGTTCTCTATAGGTTTCTTTCTTTGATAATTGATATGTTAAGAATATTTCAAGCTGATTTCATGAGAAAAAAAACTTGTTTATTTGTTTTCTTGTGTTATACTGCAACAGTTTGAGCAAGATACAGTTTTAATACCGAGAGAAACATCCTGGTTTGGTTATTATCCAGATGGCTCCTTCAAGCCAACTTTACCACCGCAAAAGGTATTGTTTTTTATTTGACTTGTCTCAATATTTTCTATGATATATGGTGCCATAATCAAGCTTTTATATCCTTTGATCGGTTTTGCAGACAAAACTCTACACTGAAGATTGGATTGGCTTAAGAACTTTAGACAAAGCTGGCCGCGTCCATTTCATTAGTGTTCCGGGAAAACATCTGGGAATATCAGATGCAGATATGAAGAAACATGTAGTGCCATATTTGAAGGACCAAACATCAAGAGAAGATAGAACTACTAAGTCTGGCTTTCGAAGGATGGGTGGAGTTAACCGAAGATTTATTCAAATCAACAAGATGGTGTAATATCATATAGTGGAGGAAGAAAATCATCAAACTTCAGCCACAACATTACTACTATGGATTGACTATTTTTATTTAGGTAGTGTATACCACGTAAATTGATAGAAACAATTTTTTACAAATTTTTTTCTAGGTTTATTCAATAAACTGATCTTTCTAGTATGAGTATATACATCAAATTACTTGATACATATAAGATTGTGATGCATCTGGATATTATTAGAATTGTAATTCAGATTTCGGTACTTGGTTATTGATAGTTTAACATGTGGTTACTCATAATTAAGCATGTGTTATTGATAGTTCAAAATGTGGTTACTCATAATTATGCATGTGATTATTAATAGTTCAACATGTGGTTAATGCTAACTATGTATGTGATTACTAGTTAGAAGTTAGTTAGTTAGTAGTATAATTCTATATAAAGGATGTATGTTTGTAAAATTTTATTCCATCAATTTTATTCCAATAACACTTGTCTCTCCTTCTCTCAAATGCTATTTATTCTTCTCTATTTTTCCTCAATTTACAAATAACTTGTAATTCAAGTTATCCAACAAGTTGGTATCAAAAACACCTGTTTAATATTCTCCATTCATGGCAAACAGGAGTACAACCTCCAATTAGTTCCCAACCAATTTACTAGTGTCGCATCGCTGCGAAAAAGGGGGCCGGCAAAGACAGAAGAGTCGTCACCGTTCGTTATTTATCCCAAAGAAAGGGAAAAGAAACGATAAGAGAAAATCTACGAAAAAGGGAAAAGACAAGTCATTGCAACCAAATCTTGGGTTCGGGAGTCGGTTACGCAAGGGGAAAGTATGAGCACCCTTCACGTCCGTTGTACTCAACGGGATCCACGCTTGTTGTCTATCTAAAAGGGTGTTAATATATCAAAAGGCTGACTCCCAAGGACAAAAGAAAAGAAAAGAGACTCGATAGGGCATCGCTGCTCTATGACTACGTACTGCCTCATGCAATGGAAAAGTCAGAGTCAACGTAGTTCGGAAAACTACAGGTGATGGGGGAAGGTTGCTCGCCAAGACATCGCAGTCTTGTGCCTACGTATCCTCATCTGGTATGAGAAATCAGAACAAACGTAGTTCGGGCTGACACGACCACTGGTTGGTTCAAGTGTTTTAACTGAGTAGGTTAAACCTTCGTTCTAGCAGTTAAGGACGATGCCTATTTGCGGTAGAACCAAGACTTAACGCACTCTTTCTGAAAACGATTTTCCAACAATCCCGAAGGATAAAAAGGTTTTGACGTATTGTTTGTGTTTTTTAGAGAAGAAGTAAATTGAGTTAAGTTTGTAACTCATGTTGCACTAAAGATATAACTTGAGAGCGAATGCGTCGCATATCGCCCAAAGAGCATACGCTAAACACTCTAGACAGTATGAGAGGAAGCCCCCCAACTATCATTCCTCAAGTACTTAAGGCTCGTAGCGTACAACCTTTGTTATCCTTTATTAAGTGTCTTAAGATGTTATGAGATGAGAAGAGAAAAACACAAACTCTAAGGGGAACTAATCAACCCTAATGTTATCATGCAAAATGCTCCTAAAGTTGGGATTAAGAGGGGGAAACTATCCTAATGTTATCATGCAAATGATTGAACACCTAATGTCTCTCCTACTCCCATCTTAAACAAATGGACTAGGAATCCTAAGTGATCATGGCAAAAGACCAAGTAAACAACAGATAATTGAATCACAAATGTAATGAAGAAAGAGAAGAAGTTGACTGAAATAAATCAAAGTAATGCAAACATGAAATGCAAAGATGCAAAGATGCAACAAGGACTCAATAATATGAGACTCAAACACACACAAGTAGCTTAAACAAGTCAACCAAAAAGAGGTGAGATGAAATGGGAGAAGTGGAACTCCTACAACCATTCAAACATCCATCACTTAAACAAATGCTAATCATAAAGCAAAGGCACAAAGCCATGATCAAAGGAATGATGGGAGAAAGAAGCTTCGGCAGCAATCACATATGAATTACCTCAACCAAACATCTCACATTGATCATGCAAATAAACAAACAAACAAGTGCAAGAAATGATCCACTATTCAAGACAAACTCAAAGTATAAGTTATGAACACCAAACATCTTGAATAATGATCAAAACACATGAGGCAGAGGTGTATCAATAAGAAGAAAGCTCAATTCAAGGTTAGAAACAAAGCACAATCAAAACTCAAGTCATGGCAAGTGAAAGAATCAATGTCCTATCACAAAATCAACACTAAAATCCAAGTGGAAATGCATGACTTCCAAGTAACTTGCAAAACAAGTTACACAAATGTATGACCTAAAACCAATGAACCAGCACCTTAATCATGTTATAAACAAGCATCAAGACTCATAAGGTGCATATGGGATCCATAGAAGTCATCTCCCAAAAGAACTAGGTCAAACTAGTTTGTATGAACCTCTTTTAAGATGACTTGACTTGCAAGCTCCATCAAAAATAGAAAGATTGTTCAATAAATTCCAAATAAAAAGCACAACAAATCTAGGTCAATTGAAAAACAGAACCCAAGACATCAAAGTCAAATTCATCTCAAGGCATCACCAAATAATTCAAGAATTAATGGTGTTCCACCTTATCGAGCATAAGTCGAGGGACAACAAAAATCAATTCAAAGTCAAATGAAAAATGATCAATCATGAACCAAATCAACCCTTAAAGGCACTTCAATTCATCATCTAAATGGTGAAGAAGCATTGATCATAGGGGACTGGCATTAGGGGTTCAAATGAGTTGAATCAAACAAGGCATGAACCATAAAAGGAACTTAATTACAAAATTAAAATAAAATAGAAATTTAAAATAAAAACAGAAATAAAAATTTTATAAAATTAAATAACACTTTGAAATACAAGAAAATAGTTTTTGTGGAATTTTCTAATGATTGGAGCTATTTTTTAAAAATGGAAAATGAAAACAGAAATTAAAAGGAAATAAAATAAGTGAAATAACAATGGGAGGTGCAAGAGTAAAAACCAACATGAACTGAATCATGTACAAAGCGCATCTGGGCTCACAAAGAGGGAGGCGTGAATATCAACTGAGGCCCAAACCAAACCCAACCTTCAGACTTAATGAAACGCACCGTTTCATTAAGTCCAGTCATGGTCAACTGCACGCGTGGCCTGGGTCAAGCGAATGATATCATGCCAAGCAACCAGGTCAACAAGTCCACATGAGACAAGTCAGCAAATATCAGGCTGGTGATTGGACGCCGGAGCTAGGGCTCCGGTTGTCTTCTCCGGCCAACTCGTCATAGACCAGTCACCAAACCCTAATAAAAATGCGCAAATCTTATATCAATGGAAAGCTGAGCTCACAAGGATTCCAAATCTAACCATAGATTTTAAAAAAGGTTCCTGAATCAAGAGAATCAAAGGCATGAATTTCAAACATGTCAACTGAAAATGCTATCAAACAGTCATGTTAATGTAACAAACATTGCCTATAATACATAGGGCTTCTGATGCAATCCACCATGAACCTGTTACATGCCTAGAATGAGAGAAACAAAGTGAAGAAACTTACTGAACGGAGCAGCTCCGTTGGCTCTTCTAAAGCTTGGAAGCTTCAATCTCTCGCTTCTAATTCGCTCCTCAAGCTCTGATGAAGAAGATTCAAGCAACAATTTGGAGAAACTTACCTAGAAACAGTTGAATCGAAGATGGAAAGTTTTGGAGAATTTTTGAAATGTATCCACTCTCTCATGCAGCAACCCTCTATTCTGATGATTAGGGCAAGCTTTTGAACTTATATATGAGGGCTTTGATGGCTCTATGCAAGCTCATAATGGTTATTTCAAATTATTTCAAATTTTGGCAAGAAAATTACTTTCCGTGCACACACACGAGTTGGCCACATACACATCATTTTGGGTCCGCAAAATAGCAAACATATGGTGTAGAAATGAAAGGGATTGTCTTTGGCTTTGTAAACATTCCATGTACCAAGTTTGAATTCATTACTTTTTGAGTAAGAAATTTGAAAATATGGCACATTAAAGCTCTTCATGTTGGCACAAATGTGGTAAATCTCTTTTTGGTCATGTAATGGTATGGAACAAATCAAAAATGAAGCAAAATATGACTTGTAATGTAAGGCTTTCAAGTCATGACCAAAAATCCAATTTTCCACCTTAAAATGGTGCACATGGCCATATAATCCACCAATCTTAATGAATTTTGAGTTCAATGTGGAGTTAAGACCATTAGGCACAAGTTTCGTGTTGGTTAGAATTGCATTTGAGGTCCATAAGTTCATGAAAATTGTCATTGAAAAAGATGGCCTATAATGAACTTTCCAAAAATACCCTTTCCTTGTGAGGTCCATAACTTGAGATGTAAAAATGATAAAAAGAACTTCTAGGACCTTTTGGAAATCTAAGATCATAAGGAACAACTCTCATGTTAACTTGAAGTTGAGGAGAAACTTTATTCTAGGTCAAAAATGTCTTGGAAGTGGGTTGACTTTAAGTTGACCAAAATTCTCTTCATCTGAGGACCCTAACTTGTTGACATCATAACATGAGATGTAAAAACTCAATGGATGAGTTCTTGTACTCAAAAGAAATCTTGAAAGATGCTCTACAAGTCTCTTTTTTTCATGAAAATGATATTGAACTTGCATCATATGGAAAAATGTCTTTGAAGTTAGGCACTAAAGAAGGGGATTTTACACTGAAATCATCTGAAACCCTAATTTAGTAAATTCTTGAACTCTTGATTCTTCTTGATTTTATCTTAACATGACATCTTAGATGCTTCAATAAGACTTCCCATGACTTATGTGACTTAGAGTCAAGTCTTGAACCCTCTCAAGTCCACAATTGACTTTGGGTTGACCAGATGAAACCCTAGTACCATGTCTTTTGTTTGTGCCCTTTGCAGATGAATGGAATGACTATACAAGCTCCACAATGACCCTTAAGGTACTAAATGAGATTTTGCACCATGTCTTATCCAAGGTGA